AAGGTGTAACAGCTTACATTGCAAAAGAAACCCCTAGTACACATGCACTCCTGTCATATGATGAGATTATTGCCTTCCCCTGTTTCTCCCCCCAAATCATACCTTAGTTGTTGCTTGTTGGAGAGACCTGTTGGATAGCTTCTGACCTGAAAAAAAATAAAAATAAACACAGCCTGTTTTACACAATGTTTGTTTCATCATTAATGAAGTGAACTGTTGCTGGGAGAATATAATCATTACTGGTGGGAATAAGATCTGAAGCTGATCCCTATGAGAGCTTTGTTCAGAGGGGAAGGGCAGTTCAAGGATAATTTTCTCACCAGAGGTCCACAAAGAGCAGTGACTTTTCACAGCACCATCCTCAGCTGTATCATGCTTTCTGTCCCTAATAGAACAGATTATTCCTGCCTAATCGTCTAAGAACATATCTGTTTGAATAGGATTAAGGCAGCAAATTGTGAGTTTGCCAAGGGACAGACAAGTCAACAGCCAGCTACTATCCACAGCCAGAATCAGGAACTCAAATGTGAAAGGAAAGCGGCCAGTTGATTTCTTTACAAAGTCCTAACAGCTGTCAGAAACCACAATTTTCTCCTGGTTTTCTCAAATTTTTTCAGTTGTTGTGAATGTAACAAGTGTCCTGTGAAATGCAGCTGCCTGATATTCCTCCAGGTAAGGAGGATAAGCCCCAAAGCAAGGAAAATACTTAGTGCAATTCAAAGGAACGTATGCATTTAGGACCCTGGGGAGACAGGAAGAAAAACTGACAGGAGTAAATGTCACCACTATTTACTTGTGCAGTGAACTCACCAGCAGCTCCAACAGTGCAACATGGAAACATTGAGAATCAGAGGGCCTGAGGGCAGAGGACTTGGGTGGAAGCCCTACTACGTGTGAAGGAAGAGAGACCTGGGTGGTCCATGCTTGAGGTAGGCAGAGCTGCAGCTAGAGGGATGAGAGAAGCGAGTTAATTTAGTTGGGAAGAAAAAGTGTATTTTCCATGGTTAACATGTAAAGGAAAAGAGTCTAGGCTCCTGGTGAAGGTCCAAGAGGCATTTTTTCTTCACATTAGAAGAATGGGCAATTCAGACTATGGGAAGTGGGAAGCCCATGGCACTCTCCAAAACTCAAGCAGCTTTGTTGGTTTTGGGGGCAGGACAGGCTGCTCTTTTCTTCTATTCCTTTAAATTCCATAACTCACCCTATCCACTGCTGGCATAGATTAAGAAGCTGCACTGAGCCTTTGCAATATGCTCATAACATAGCTCCAGAATCCCCAAAGCACAGCCCACTCCAGCCCTTCCCAACAGGACCCCTGCATTTCACACACACCTTCAGGAACTTCTTCCATCTGGTCTCCCTGGAGTGTCCTACTTGTTCTCCTTCATTCCCAGCAACCACTGCCCTGATGTAGCTCTTGCATTTCTCCCCACGGGCCCCCATAACCACAACATAGACCATTACTTTAAAAGAAAAAGTAGTTTACATTTGAACAAGAATATTATACATTAGGTTACTATAGAAATATATATACACACACACACATATACAGATACTTGCCTCTCTAAATTTTGTACAAATTGCAGCTATCTTTATACCACAAAAAGGACTCATTAACACTACTGGTTTCCATCCAAAAGGCTGCCAGCCTTGAACAAAAGCTATGGACGTGTGCCTTTCTATGTCTTCTGTACATTTTAGCAAAAAGTTGGTTTTGTATGCACATACATAAGCACGGCCCTTCTCGTAAAGCCAACCAAGCACTGTTATGGGTCACCAACAATGAGGATAAACTGGAGAAGAATGTGTCCATTTACAGTACTCAGGAGCTCAGGATTTCTAGGTTTGCAAAAGAAATGCTTGAACTTAACCACAAGAAAATAAAGTAAACATCAGAAAAACATCTACAATTCCAACACAGAGTAATAACCAACTACTTTAATAGCCAACTACTTTGCACCAAGCTACACAGCTTTCTCTGAAAAAGTCAACCTTTAGTATTCAACTCAAATCTAACTGCATTGAAAGTATTATTGTTTACTTGTGGGTTTTTTCATGTACATAAGAAGATTCTTTTCTGCAAAATTTAGGTGGACATTAGTGAACACAGGTGTTAAGCTTAATTAGAGACTGGATACAGGTGATGAGTTTGTGTTCTTTCATTAGCAACATGCACAAAGCAAATGTAAACATATTTAAAGAGGAAAGGTTACATTAAATTAAAAACCAACACAATGATAAACTGGAACATGTATTTGGAAGACAAAGAACTGAAATTCTGTGAAAATGAAGGAAACTGAAAACAAAAATTTGAGTATTGGCTGAAGAAGCATTTCAAATTTTCTCAATGAATAGAATAGCAACTCTCATGCCCAGCTTTTAAAAATAACTAATTCTTTTCTGCTGCTTTAAATTTCTCCCAACGTTGTTCTCCTGTTTTCAGGGTACTGTGCAAATCAGGGTAGATTATAGAATTCATTTCACATTTCACAGCCTGCAGTTCAAGATGTTCTAAAAGAGTATTTCCTCCAGCTGTGAGCACTAAACCAAAAATAAAAGTACCATCAGGAATATTGTTCAGCACAGGATAAGACTGTAGCTCATCCTGTGCTGGGATGAACAATGACTGTTAAAGATCAGACCTGTTAATGAAGGAACTAAGAAGTGATGAAAATGAAACTTTTCTTTCCTTAAGCTCTTATTCCAACCACAAATCTACTGCCTGCTTTGAAGAGACTAAACCGAAATAACCTCTCGCTGGTAATCTTTAGATGCAATTTATTCTTTTGGGAATAAGCATTCTCAAAAATTAGTAATATTAAGAAAGAGGAATATACTTTGGAAAGCATTAGTTTAAACTCTAAGAAAAAAAACAAAAACTCCATCACATTATTCAGCGATGGAGTCACTGAATAAAGCAGTGTGGAAGGAGGTACCCATTCTGGTACATAGTTACTAAGTTGGGAAACAAAAGATCACTGCTGTTTGTGTGCTCCAGAACTACGACTGCAGCAGAGAACATCCATTTTGGACATATTTTCACAATTAACAACAACTACAAAACTAACAAAAGGGTGAACCTTGTGGGATTTTACCTACCCAGAAATGAGTAAGGCATACCACAAAGCAGGTCAGTGTAGAAACAAAATATGAAAGACTCCAAAGAACTGGAGATTTTCTATGCACTTGCATGATAAAATACTGACTCTTATATAATAAGAGGATGATCATGTTGGAAAATTTTAATTTAAGCTAACCAGTAAATATTAGCTTTAAATGAACAGCATTAACAATGTTAGCTAACCTCACAGAAGTTAATATATGTCAAGGTAAGACTAAGATACAGCACTTACCTAATAGATGCTGCATCAGGAACCCAAGTTCAATGGGAGACTTTTGAAAGGTTTAGCTTTCAATACTCAAAAGAAAATTAATTTTAAATGGCCACTATTTACATGATGCTTGATGTGTGTTAACAAATTTAACAATTTACAAGTTTTAATCTTTATGTTCACATAATACTTCTAACATTCTATCTCTACATAAATGGATCAGATTTTTTTCGTGATTTGTTTTGGTTTGGTTTGTGGTTTTCTTTAAGCCTGAAAAAGAGAAAATCCTCAGGCTGCATTCTTATACAGCATGCAGAAAAGAAATAATCTAATTTTATGATCAAAATCTCAACCACTTAGTAGGAACTAGTAACAGATCTGCTGATATTGCTCTATACAAACCACTTTGAACATTGCTCTAAGAATTCAACATCTGAAGTAAACAATGGCATTGTTTAATTCAATATCTACATTGGCATCAGTTTCATTTCATTCTTTAAATGGATTTCAAGTTATTTATAGATTATTTTTTTTTCCCCTCAAAGAAACATATCTGTCACATTACACAATTCAATGGTTGTCACTTATGGCTTTGGCTTAAGTATTGCTAAAAGATATTTCTTTATCATATTAATTTTTATAAAGATCCCTGGTAATTATTTAAAGTAATACGGACCACTTCAGTCTTAGGAGCTGCCACAGCTGAAAAAGATGAGTTTGTTTTCTGCACACTATAGTGACAGCACACTTGCACATATTGCTTGAATTTATATTACCTGCTTTGTTTTCTTGGGCCTTTCTTTGTTAGAAATGTATCTATAAGCCCTACGTCATGAATGGCAGCAGGTTAAATCATATTTATCTCAGCTAACAGTGTTAAGCACATAAAGCAAAAGGTAGGTAAGCTGAAACAGCATCGTCATTTTCCATGAGACAAGACTCCTGCATTTAGTTATGACCAACTGCTAATACAGTACCACTGCAAATGCCACATACTGCAATGAAATTCATTATAAAGCCATAACATAAGTTCAAAGATGTCAAAGTTGAAAACATTCACCATTACAATTCACACACGTTTCTCCATCATACCACCTTACATTCACCTGGCAATCTCACCTTTCTCCTGTCCTCGATCTTCACACCATTAACATTATGATCAGTTGCATTTTCTTAAACATCCATGTCCTTCATCACTTTGAAATTTAGCATCTTGGACCTTCATTTTGTCACAAAACCACTGCTGTGTAGATACACTGTGCTGTTGGATTCTGTGGTCTCGGAGCTGGGAGAATCTATGGTCTCTGTAGTGCCGTAACAGTCGAAAGTCTCAAGGAGAAAAGCAAACCCAGCATTGTGATCCATATTCTAAAGCTAAGGAATTAAATTGTGGAAGACTTTCAGAAATGTTGACCAAAATGGGCCATTTGGATAACATCCAGTTACTCAAAGCTTGAAACAGAAGAGAGAGGTGCTGTTCCACAGGGCAACTGAATGACCTGGCATTGGCAGCATGCCACATCAGTCATAAATCAAAACAGCTGTCACAACTACTGCAAAAATATGCCTAGTCTGAATGTCACAATACAATTTAAGAATGGCATTACTTTGAGAGCACTTTCCATTTGGAGTTCTCCGCTTTGAAAAATCCTTCCAGGCTTCACAGATTTAAACAGGTGAGGAACTATGGCAGCCTCTGATTTTATCTGGCTCCACAGATAATACTTTTTCTCTTGGCTCTTGTTTAACTTGGCTCACACAGATAACTCCCTCTGCATTTTCTTCAGCTTAAAAACAAAACAAAAGATAATCAGACATTGATGTTCAAGCTCCACTGACAAGCTTCAGCTACTTTTCTTTTAAAAGAAAAGTATTTCAGCAACTCAAGCTAATGGGTAAGGCATTTGTGAAGTTAACTGCTGTTTAATTTGACCTACTGTGCTAGAAGATATGGCAAGTTGACATGAATTTACTGCAGTAAGAGCTCACCTTGAGTAACAATATTTAAAGCATTTTATAAAAAAAAATATAAAAAAATAATATGCTTGGAGATATAAAATTATGCTCACGCAAAACGTCTTTCCTCTTTCTCAAGGAAAGATAAAGCTACCCTCTTACTTGGTTCTGTTTGGTTGGTTTTTTTGTTTCCAGGGGCAAGGAGGAATAGAGATATTGTTGCTGAAAAACTAACTCAAAGGCATGTTGATTTATAGAATGACTTACACTTCAGGCATGACTGGCCACTTCAGTGACTGCACATAAGTTTTCAGCAGTAAATAGCTTATTCTTAAGTTAGCACTTGGACAAGGGAAAATCTAGAACACACAGGATAATTTTAACCAAGCCCTCATGTGTGTTAATTCAAGTGTAGGGGTATGTGTTCATTTTATAGGCAACTCCTCCACAACATAACTTAGGAATGGCATCAATATTCTCACAATTTCCAAATTTAGGCTGGTGATGACTGAGATCTTGAGCAGGGGGAAAGAAAAAAAAAAGGAAATCCCAAAGGAACAGTCAGTTTAGTCCTTGAAGTTATATAATCTTATATTTGACTACATTTCCTTTGTGTAAACCAGTATTTCTTAAAATGAACTTACAACACTCATCACTCAAAAACTGAGAGGCTTCAACATCCAGATTGAATAAACGTGTTAAACAACTGAATGGAGAAGGTGCATTTGATAACCTCTCTTGTTTTACCCTGAACAAAACCAGAATTTTTCAGGAGAGCAGTCAAATTCAATTATAAAAGGGAAAAAAAACCCCACCCCGAACAGTAACACATTTAAGTACACAGCAGGCAGAAAATCCCTTAAATTTAACTTTGACAATATCACCACAGTAAAAAAACCCAATATTACTTTAACACGTATGAATTTCAGTATATTTCCTCATATACCCTTTATTTCCATTTCTTTTCTTCATGTAGTCTTATATTTCCATTACAGAATTTAGTACAAATTAAGTTTTGCTGACCTGCAAAAGCCATCAGGGCTTATGGAGATAATTACCACTACGGCATTAGGAAGGTACAGGCTATGACCTAGCACATCTTTACCTAGATGTTCCTGCAAAACTACTCAAGAGTCATCTTTTTAGAACTCACAGATGACAAGAAAAGATAAAATGAAATAACAAAGCATTGCGCAGCTAACGTTTAGACTCTGTGGATAGTCAAAAAGATATGTTGCAACGATCTATATATGCTCCATATCTAATAGGTTTTCTTCACCCACAATCAAATCATTCTTTGAGAATGCAAGCTTCCATTCTCAACCAGGTTCCATGGCTGTGAATTCGAAGACTGTATCTATATTTGTTAACAATGATTTTAAGGAGCCTTCTATTTTGACACAGAGTTAATTATGATATTTATTGTGTATTTTTTTAAAGTGTATTTTCAAACAGAAGCTTGAAATTCTAATAAATCAAATACAACTCCAACTGATCACTTCTAAAGCATATTGATGACTACAGGATCCTAGTAAAAGTTTGGAAAAAAAAATAAAATTCACAAATCCTCTGAGGTGGTGCAAATAAAGAAGTCATCAAACCCCCACATTTCTTTTCTAAGTGTTCCAACTAGATTCAATATTGGTTATTTTCTATTCTTATTTTTAGATATTTTGAAGATCACTTTAACTAAATGGATATTAGAATTTCTGGCAAAAATACTGTGTTCATTGAATAAGTGGGTATTTGGTCAAAAGAAAGTGATAAGCAGTTTAACTAAGAACTTATCTTTCTACAGCAAAACCTAGGTTTTGGCTTGGTTTTGTTACTCCCCCTACCACCTCCCTTCATGTTTTCACAGTATAAACTAATTAGAATCACCTGAAAGAAGCCTATGGTGGAGTTTCCTATTATCAACACAATTCTTTCCTTTCTTCAAGACACACAGAAGAAAATCTACTGTATTGTTTGTATTTACATATTATTGGCAAGACTGCAACTTACTAAGTGCTGGATGGCTGTCCACAATCCGTACTGGAATAGTCTGTACATCTCCCAACAGAATCTGATGGACTCCTCCTTCTAGGCTTCTGGAGTCATCTACCCCTCCTACTGCTACCAACTGGCTCATGGTGAGCAGACTCTGATCAGGGCCAGGTGGAGTCCCAAAAGCAGAGGTAGCAGAGCTATGCTGTGTTAGGCCAGGACTTGTTTGCAGACTGTGTCCCTGACTAAGTACTACAGGGTGGCTGGTTACTGCGCTTCCTGTGGAATCTAGGAGACTTGCAGGGCTGGGAGGGGAATGGTTATTTACAGCTATCAGGGCTGTTGATCCATTTGTGGAGGTAAAAGTCGACTGCAGCTGTAATCCCTGTGAAAGAGAAGGTAGAAAAACTAGCATACCAGTATTCACAGCAGGAGGAGTTTGCATTTAATGACATCTATTTTGCAATGCTGGAACTGGATAGTACATCATCTCCTTCCAACAGTCAATCCCAGCAACCCTGTGCTAAAGTTGTATCAGAAAACAATTAGGACAATGATATGCAGCAGCCTCTTAGAAGACTACTTATGGCCATAAAGCTCTAATTTTGGACTGACATTCAGTTTCAAATAATTTCCCAATACTGCCCATTTTCACAAGAGGGGGGACTAAAAGCATACTGTTAAAAAAACCCAGCACCTCACTGCAAACTGTATATCTAGGGAAAAGAACACACATTTCACTGAGGTCCAGGGAACATGAAGGTAGCTTTTCAAAGAAAGCCACCTTTGAAAGGGGATGAGCTTTAGAAGAAACTCTTTTAGCATGACATTCTTATCCCCAATCTTCAGCCTTTCAACCTGGAAGTTTACAGATCTGAGCCGGGAGCAGTTTTAAGATTTCAACACATTTTAAGAGGCTGGAGGAGGATTTTAAAGGAATAAATAAGACTGACTTATGTCCTCTCAGTCTTGCAGCATTTTCGTTATGAAATGACTGGACCATGTTGAAAACAAATAGCTGCTTGGCTAGAGGCAGAAGCCCACCACCCTCATCATCTTCATTTTGCCTTCACAAGAGACCCTAACTTCAAAGTGTCAAAAGATGGTAATGGGGACTTCTGCACCATAGTTATATGCCAAATGTGACATGCAAGAGAGGTCGAAGTAAGAGCTGACAGCTATTTCAAAATCCCCATTACCTAGCCAGTGTTTGGGATCATTAGCTGAGAGGGAACTTGCTGTTCTCAGCTCGCCTTCCCAGTGCAGAACATTTGACATACTGTAAACAACTTGACTATACCTGAAGTTGTGCAAATATCTTGGGCTGAAGCGAAGAGAGTGAAGACAATAGTTGAGCTGCTTCTGGTAGCAAGGACTCCCCACTCTGGTTGGATTCTGCTTTGGTGACAAATGACTCCCCTGCTGAGCTCCCTACAGTGCAACAGAGAGGAGGCAGACAGTTATAACAGATTACTTCTTCCCATTTCAAAGTCTCCTCTGCAAACTGAACAAACCCCTTCAATCTCAATATAGACATATAAAAGGAATATATATACACATAAATGCTGTTTTCTTTGCAGAAGAACTTGGATGCTAAATTAAAAAAGCTGTGTATGAGAAAAAGACAATACTGTAGGAAGATTGTATGTGCCTGTTGACAGTAAAAAAGAAGCACTGACAGATCCATTTTGAAGAGCAAAGTAATTGCACCCTACACTGTGCTTTGAATTTCTAGTTATAACATAAAAGCTGACAGTTTACTATCAAAGCAACAATCAAACAACTTGACAACACACACACCTCAGTAAGGGCTCAATAATAAGCATTAAAAAAAAAGAAAGGGTTGCCTCTGAAAACAAAAATCTACACAGGAAATCCTGTAAGTTTCACCACTCCCTTGCAAACATCTTTGTAGAATTAAGGTAATTTCTTCGCATTATCACACCAAAAGTCCATTTATCTGGAAGTCTTTCAGCCTACAGATTACATCATATCCTCAAAATTCTTTAATGCAGAAAGGACAGACCTCATTTCCTGAAGACTTGTAAAACTTGAGATTCACTTGTAGCAATTTCAGCAAGAAAACTTCCTATGGAATCAATTCCATTTCCTGTTTGATCTATCTAGAACAGATTTATCCAGACACAACTAGACATTGCTTAGCCTCTTATTTCACAGTTTTACTGCTGTAACTGTAAAAGAAGATCTTGCCCTGAGCATGTAGATTAGGCTGGAGAATGGCCAACTGCAAAAAGCTTTCTAACAGGAAATTATACAGAAGTCTCCAGCAATCTAAGTGAATGGAGATACATTTTTCAACATATATTCTGATTTGAAAACTCTAGCTCCTTATCATAACTGACTATGAGACATACTCTATAAGTCTCCTTGAATGCAACTACTTCAAATATTTAGGCTCTTTTTAATACTACACAGAAGTCCCATATGCATATGTGAATATTCAAGATCCCATATGCTTACGTGAACATTCACATGTAGGAAGAGATGGTAGTTCTTTTCTTAGGTTGTATTCTACACCAACACGCCTAGGAATAAAGTTAATAGTTCAACTCCTAAGCTACCCACTCCTTATACTGCATAGGCTTTCAGTATGAATGCCAAAATTAAACAAACAAAATAGGCATTTTATCTCACTTGTCATTATACTTCATAAAAGATGTAAAAGGGAGCACACAAATTTGACAGTTACAGTGGTTCTTAGACCTAGGAGAGAACAGACAAAGCTGTATCTCATGGAGATACAGAGTTCTGCACAACAAGACAACAAACAGCTGGGTTTAGTTCTGTTATCATTTGATTTTGTAAATAATAAATTTGTCTCCATTCAGCACAAGTTGAAATGAAAAAAACAAAACACCACAACAACAACAAAAAAACAAAACCACAAAACCCACAAACAAAAAAAACAACGTGTACAAACAGTAGTTTGAAAAGCCAGTGTTGTTTTCCCTTGCTACCACTTCACATACATTAATGACAGTTCCATTTTTCAAAGTCAGGCTTATTTTTTTCGCTTAGACTTGTAATACAATTATAAACACGTGTTTGCAATGTGTACAAACACATACCCACATATATAAAGGGAGACAAGATATGCTGGAATTAGATTATCTGCTTGAATTCACTGACTTGGTGCACACGTGAAGAAAACGGAACAAATCCGATTCTCTATAGCTTCCTTTAAAATTCACTAGACGGATGCTTACACATTTGATAGGCTACCCTGCCTCAGAAAATTATCTGTGAAAGACAAAGAAAGCAAGAATTGGTCTTCCTGAAATTTCTCCAGTATCCAGACATACTAGAAGAGCCCTGCTGAGCTCTATCACAGCTGATGGACGCACAACTATTCTGTCTTCCCATAAAAGCGCAGTAATGGAATTACTAACGTAGACATGTGAGCTGAAGCACAGTAAGTCTGCTTATACTGCAAATTCCTTTTTTCCTAAAAAAGGCTTCTTTAAGAAAGAGGGACACTATTCAAACTGAGCCTAAAAACTTTTGTATTTAGCAGTTGTCAATACCAAAATTCTTACCCTAACAGCACCAAGCATACATGATGCCTTTCAGTTCAAATTGATCCATTGCAGCAACAGGTAAAGAGTTAAAAAGAATTCCCAAAACAAAGCCCAAACACTGGCCTTTTTATTAAGTGTAAATGCTCTGGTGTACCTGGATCTGCTCCACATAAATCAGGTTAACCAAGTAATTTAGGAGAAATCACACAGTGAACTAAACCTCTGGGTGTTTATATTTGCTGCTACAAGAAAGAAATAAGTCAGGGAGTGACATGCACCAAAGGGGAAAGAAACCCAAACACATCAGGAATCCTGGCAAGAACCACAGTGGAGGACAACTGCTGACTGTCATGGTTTAAGCCCAGCCGGCAACTTGGAACCACGCAGCCGCTCGCTCACCTCCCCCCTCTCCCAGAGGGATGGGGAGGAGAATCGAAGGAATGTAACTCCCACGGGTTGAGATAACAGCACTCCAGTAACTAAGGTATAATACAAACCACTACTGCTACCAGTAATAATGATAAGAGGAATAACAAGGGAAAAGGACACAACCGCTCACCACCCGCCGACCGATACCCAGCCCGACCCGAGCAGCGATCTGGGCCTTCCGGGTAACTCCCCCCAGTTTATATACTGGGCATGACGTGCTGTGGTATGGAATACCCCTTTGGCCAGTTTGGGTCAGGTGTCCTGCCTCTGCTTCCTCCTGGCTTCCCCTCCTCTCTGGCAAAGCATGAGACTGAGGAAGTCCTTGGTCAGAGTAAACATTACTTAGCAACAACTAAAAACACGGGTGTTATCAGCATTGTTCCCAGACTGAAAGTCAAAAACACAGCACTGCACCAGCTACTAAGAAGGAGAAAAAATGACTGCTGTAGCTGAACCCAGGACACTGACACAAGTAGATCTTTAAACATGACAAATGTGGCAGCATCCCTTTGGTCCCTGTAGACTATCAGCTGTCTGGAACAAAAGGCACCCACCACCCTGTTCCAGTTAAATGGGGAAACAAGATAGCAATGCCACTGAGATTTAAAACATCTAAGAAGTCTGCAGCATTATCTCAATGCATGCAAACAATTACTCTTCAACCTTGCTACAATCACATCCGTGCTAAAAGCCAACAACTCTTCTCATGAGTTTCATATATAACCTGTTAATCGAGGGATCAGGAAAAATCCACAAACATGCAAAAAGTTCTTTTGGTGACACTACAAAAAATATCCTTGAAACCTAAGGAAAAGGGTAGAATAATATGATTTTATTATCAGCCACCATGATCCAGTGGAACATCTCAGCCCATGTGTAATCCTAACTACCTGGGTAGCAAGTGTATCTGTTTTAGTACCTGTTTTGAAGTTGAAGTAGTAGTAGGAACCCACTTTCAACAAAGGAAAATAGTTTAACTAGAGTCTTCAAAACAACCAGACCTTCAACCATGAATGTGTAAACCCAAGTTTCTATAGGAATCTACACTATCTACATTCTGGTTTTGCAGCAGAGTGGGAAGAAGTTTAATTGCTGGGAAAAGATGCTAATTTGGCTTCACATGTTAATAAAGACATTACACTACAAAAAGAACTGAAGAAACATCTCAGAGCCCTGCTGCCATTAAACACACAGGTTTCTATTTCTAAGTATTAAGGAAAAATTGAAAAGAGTGCTCTCAATTCTGGCAATAGAAATATCATGTTTGTTTTTCAGGACCTGATCATAGCAGCAGAACTCAAGCTAATGACTTTGTGAGAAGCCAGGAATCCCAATATGCATTCAAGTCTTTTAGCAAGATATTTAAGCACATGTGAAGCACAAACCACCAAGGAACTCAAGTACCCAGTTGACTCCTGGGTATTGTTAACTGTTCTATAGCAATTTAATTATCTCTACACAGGTGTTATTAGCACCTTTATCCAAAGTAAAATGTTGTTTCCACATAAACATCCCATTAAAATCTTCAGCTGCTTGAGGATGCTAAATAAAAGCCAAATTTATAATTTTCATACTTCTGGCTACCCCATCACACTGTGTATTTTTTTACATATGCAGTCACATAGTTAAAAGTATGCTAAAATAGATACACCAAAATAGCCCTTCTGATGTTCAGCTGAGCAGCAGAACACAGCAGCAACCTCACTGGAAGGAAACTGAACTTCTGTGACATAGCTAATAAAAGAGATCACGTTTGGAGACAGCCAAGTTATTAATGCAGTCCTACCATCCGAAGGTGGCGAGGCAAACGTAACAGTCACTGTTTCTGTGAGAACATTCCCACTGTCTGTGGTCCACTGCAGCTGAAAGGAAAAAGATCTCAGTTCTCAGAAAGGGTGCAAGTTTGTCTACTACAGGAACACAGGCTCAGTATAGGACTCGCAGGAAAAAAGCCTGAAACTACATTTTCTTATAACTATGCAATTTGGAAGTTCCTGGTTTACAAAAAAACCCAAACAAACAAACAAATAAACCCCAAAAAACCCAACTTGCTAAAGATATTTTAACATCCACTCCACCAGGGAAGGCTAAAATCTGTTCATGACAGTTCAAAAACCTTAAAATAGAAAACAGTCAAACCAATTTGGCTAATTAACAAGTATCACTCACTTACCTGGGCCAAGAGCAGTGTAGGGAGAGGGAAAAGACTGGTGACACAGCATTATTTAACAGTACAATCTGTCAAAGCAGTCAGCCTCATAACTGGGAAAACTAGGATCACCGTGTATCCCTTACTCAATAGGTGGAAGAATTTTAAGGAACAACACGTAAGAGTTACCAACCATTCTGAAGTATCTACTTCATGCTTACTTCACTTGCTATAAAGTGCATTTATTAATATCTATGTATTCAAAATGTTGTGCAAGCCCTAATTTAGGCTGCACCCAAGACATACTTCATCCCCATTTTTCAGATGCAGAAAAGTAACTTCTCCAAAACACAATGAATACAATTTTCTGACACATGTCAATTTTTCCATACCACATGGTTTCCAGCTCTTGCAGCATCATGAAGTGCTGGTATTGTAAAATCTGTCAATCAACTAATAGCAGTCTAATGCTGATGAAATAAATACTGAATAAGGTCAGATGGTTTTATTCATATTTAATCCGATCTTGCTCAGCCAGAGATTCCACTGAAAATACTGCTGCTGGAAACAGAAAGTCATAGAGAATTTTGGATGAATTACAGCTAAGTGGTAAAAATTAAAATACGATTTCCTGTATTTAATTCCAAAAACCAAAAAGAAACACAAAGGCCAACACACCGTTGCTGGGATACTTTCCGAATTATACACGACCTCGCCATTCCTCAGGGACTTCTGCACTTCATGAATGTGGTTCTTGATGTCATTCACAGTGGGGAAGAAGGACAGGTTATGTCTTTCTGGCACTTCATCAGGCTTGAATAATTCTCTTTCCACATACTTTCTGTCACATGTTAAAGGACATTAAAATATACATATTTAAAATATACTGTGCCTTTTCCCCTCTGCTATAGGCACTGCTATCTCTCCCTCCCCTTGTTGTAATGACAAGATAAAAGCAAGCTAGATGATCTCCCGACTCAGTTTTTTTTACATCTGCTGCAGAGTTTGGAATTAAAAATCCCCATTTATTCAACTAACTTTAAAGAGGACAACAGCTCTTAGCAGCTACCTACAATGAATTGGAAAGAAAAGACAAAAGCTGGGAAAAACAAGTTCTCATGACATATGGGAAATATATTCAGTAATGCATCAGCACTGCCCTTTAGCTGCAAACCAAATTAATCAAATGCAGAAGTACATACAACACTACAGACTGAGAACATGCCGAAAAGTTCTGTACCTCAGTTGCTTCCTCACTGCATAGACCTGCTCTATTCCCTGAGACACCAGTTCTCGGATCTTGTCTGCCACTTGAGGATGAAGTCGGGAAGGCAGAATACAGTTCTCATCTCTAACAACTTCCTCCTCCTCCTCAGGAGAAGGCACAGAAAAATGGGAGGGTGAAGAAGGGAGGCAGGAAGTTTCCATTTCATGATACTGGTGGGCTTGCTGAGTGGGTAACTGTACATACCACCTGGCAAGAAGGAAAGAGTTTCTACACGTAATTCTCAAGCAAAGGCAAAAAATGGAATCTCTTGGGGGAACAGTCTGACAGCCAGTATCAATCCAATTAGAGTGCCTTAAGATTTTACAGCCCCTGCGTTTTAGTGCTCAGGGCCCTATCACACCTGTCAATGCAAAATAAACCAGCTCAAATCCCCAAGTAATATAATTATTTCTATCTATTCCTTGCATGAAAACATCTGCTGAAGCTTCACAGCTTGGTGCTTAAGACATTTACTAAATTAATACTCCAGAGCCACAAAAGTCTTACTGACATTGTGGGATTTTTTTTTTTTTTACTATTGATATTAAGCAAGAGCCTTAATAAAGTGACTGAGTCAAAAATAGAGGAAACCAAGAAAATTACTGCTCTTTTTTGATTCATCAAGATAAAGGGAAAAAAAAAAAAATAAATGGAAGTTTCACCTGAGGACACCACCAGCATCTATCAAGTTCTTCTTCAGCATGTTGAATGCTTTCTCCTGCTCCATCCTTATGATTTTCTTGTCAATTTTAGGGTCAGTAGGAACCCTGTATTCCGGAAACTTCTGAACCTTTTTAATATAGATCCTTTCGGGGTGGGGATAAAAAATAAATTTCTCCTTCAGTACACTTGCCCTCAGGGGGAGGAGGCAAAACCTACTTCATATCAGATATTAGTATAGAGAAAGTTCAAGCAGAGTGTTGCAGGGTGTGAGGAGCCTCTAAGAGAACTGAAGAGTTGTTAAGCACACATCAACAGAGACAGATGCAGATGGATGCAGACAGAAAAACTTCTGTTCCTGTCTGGAAGCCACTCAGCCAGAGTGATTTTGCACCTCATCAAAAATCCTCTGTCCCTCAGTATAGTAAAAGTATAACACCATTTTGGAACAGGCTTCAGCCATCTTGAAGCCAGAACTGAGCACATACATATCTAGATGCACTCTTAGCTCAGTAAGAACTCAACAAACACCCAGGAGGATGCTCAAGAACAAGACGAAAAACCGTTAATGTTGGATAAGGAGAAAGTCCCCAGTGAAGAGGAAGAACTGTAACTCCTTCAGCAAATAAGGACATCTGCTAAATTAGGATTATTGAGTGATATGAGTGCAATTAAAAGCCTGAAGGAAAAACAACAAATAGACTATAAAGTTTTAGGACCAAAAATGATCACTAAAGGACATCACAGTAACTAATGCTCAGGTAGAGAATGATTCAAACTTTTGCTTCATATCCTGATGTACCACTACTTTGCATCTGGCCAACCTATTGTCTCAGTCTTATTCATTTCCTCCTTCCCTCTAAAGGAGACGAAGCCAAAAGCTACAGTGCGTATCAGCTACCACCCCCAAACAGCACTCTGCCAAGGCTCACAGGAAGAATACTTTTTTTTTTAGGATGCTGAGTGGCTCTTCCGGCTTTATAGACAACTCTTACCTTGCTGGACAAGTGGCTTTGTACAGATGGCAAGAGGTGCCTTCCTGCTCACCAGCTTTTTTGGGCTGGAACCCTTTCCTCCTTGGCCCATATTGGCACTCCATTACAATGGCTCTGCTTCCTGGGAACAGAAAGTAATGCACCCCATTTATTCAAACAACCACTGAAATTACTGCAGTAAAACAATACTAAATAAAAGATGAGAGTTTCAAAACAGTTACTTGTTTACCATCAGACTCTTCAGAAGGCAGAACACTCAAGTGTAGCAAGCATTCAAATGCAGTATAAATGCTTCTTTCACAGCATGAAAGGAATACAGACCATTTTCAAAACATTTCCCAAGCTTACTACACCTCACAACACTCCTGCAACACATATGATGGCAAATACTGGATTCTGCCCTACTGAACACCAATACAAGATGAACAGTCTTTCAAGTTATCAAAGGAGCACAATGCTGGTAACGAACATAATAGAAGCAGAATTCCCAAAATAACCAAGAAAATCCACAGCTGAAGTCAAAGGTGTACTGGTTTTGGCTTGGATAGAGTCAATTTTCTTCATAGTAGCTAGTATGGGGCTATGTTTTGGATTTGTGCTGAAAAGAGAGTTGTTTTCAGCATGAAAACACAGGGATGTTTTCCTTACTGCTGAGCAGTGCTTAAACAGTCAAGGCCTTTTCTGCTCCTCACCCCACCAATGAGTAGGCTTGGGGTGCACAAGGAGTTTGGAGGGGACTCAGCTGGGACAGCTGACCCCCAGTGACCAAAGGAATATTCCACACCATATGACATTACGCTCAGTGTATAAAGCTGGGGGAAGAAGGAGGAAGCAGGAGGATGTTCAGGGTTTGTCTTCCCAAGGTACTGCTACATGTGATGGAGCCCTGCTTTCCTGGAGATGGCTGAACACCTGCCTGACCATGGGAAATGGTGAATTCCTTGTTTTGCTTTGCTTGTGCACACAGCTTTTGCTTCACCTATTAAACTGTCTTTATCTCAACCCATGAATTTTCTCACTTTTACCCTTCCAATTCTCTTCCCTATCCCACCAGAGGTGAGTGAGTGGCTGTGTGGTGCTTAGTTGCTGGCTGGGGTTAAACCACAATAAAAAGTCAGCAGCTCTTTTCAGCCTCTTGTCTTACTTCAATATTTCAGACCATGCTGCCCAGTAATCCTTAACTGCAAGTCTGACCTACCTTATCTGCTAAACAGCACTGTTTCAGTGTGGCACACACACA